AAAGCCAGGGATGAGGTATAGTAACTGTTGGAGATCAGAAATGGTGAGGAACCACAAATCTACAGACATGTAGACATGTCTCTGCCAGGGGACCAGGATCTGGAAGCCTCTGAAGACAGACTTTAAAGGTTATAGATATATTCCCAAGTGAGAATTGTGGGGAGCAATAAAGCCAGCCAACTCCTTAAAACTGGGATAGTCATGGGACTGGATGGATAGCTCAAGACAGAGCACTTGCATAGCATGTGTGAATCATGGGCTAGATGTCAGGCACTGTAAGATTCAAAGAACATAACAATGTGACAACTACAGCAAGAGGTACATGTGCAGAGTCTACATATGCCTAAGAGGAGAAGCCCTGCTATGTCAATGAGAATTCTTCAGTTTGCTGAGTTTCCAGAGATGTAGAAATACAGGAAGTGGCCATGTTCTGAGGAAGCACCCCATAGGTGATTGGAAGATGGACTAACACTAAGGAAAGCCCAGGCAAGATGAAGTCACCAGAGAGAGACAGACAGATGTGGATTGATCAAGCCCTGACTGGGATACGAAACTGAGCTATACGGTGCCTCCTTGAGAGGCTTATTCCATGCAGAGAGAGAAGTTAACATTTGTACTTAGAACAGGGTGAAAAGAGTGTTATAAAAATGGTAAGTAGGAGTGTGTGTTTCCTTAAATATGTGAAAATGTACACATTTTATTTGCCTGGCACATAAAATTGGCAGGCCTCAAACATGGAGGTCATCTCTCTTGCCTCGAGGAATCCAAGCTGACCAAATAGACAGGTATACATTGGCAAAAAACAAATGTCTGGGCAGAAAACTCAAGAAATTAAAAAAGTACTCCAATATGGGCTTGCCCATTCCTGTCCTAGGGATACAAAGGAAGAGAGGGGGTGCCTTAAGAAGGTTAAAACCAGCAACCAGTGCTGAGCCTTTTGAGAGAAAGAAGAGGCTTGTTCTACTAAGAGAGAAGGGCATGGCAGAGAGGAAGATCACCAAAGGTTGGGAGCACTTAAGAATGAAGAAAGGGGGTGCTGGAGCTACAGTCTTCACCAGGGCTGGGAAGGTAACTGCACAGAAACAACCGTGAAGGTGGGCAGCTCCCCTGGGAGGCAGACTCCATGATCCTACACAGTTTCTCAGCCCAGAAGCTACAGTTTTAAAGCATCTGTGTGGGTGTTAGAGTCTGAAGACAGCCAGTCAGCCATAGCAGGTGGGTCCATGATAAAATGGATAGGACGCCATATTGCTAAGCGTGATGATTAATACTGTCAACATGGTAGGATCGAGAATCACCAAGGTTAATATGGTCAAGCTCTAGGCATGTCTACGGGCAAGACTGTAGACAGGATTAGGTGAGGTGAGACTATCCACCCTAAATGTAAATGACACCACTCTATGGGCTGGAGTTCCATAGTGAATGAATGAGGAGAAGACACAGAGCTAAGCACCAACCCAGCATTCATCTCTCCCCTTCCTGACTGGATACAATGTGACCAGCTGTCTCCTGCATCTGTGGTCATGCCTTCCCCACCATGATAGTCTACACTCTCAAACTGAGTCAAAAGAAACCCTTTCTTCCTTAAGTGCCTTCTGTCAGGTATTTTTCATAGCAACAAGCAAAGTACACAAAGTTTCTCAGCATCACAGGGAGTCGTTTGAGACAGGAGGGAGCAATCAGCATTGAATCTGTGAGGCCACAGAACCTGTGATCCAACAATTAGACTATGTCCAAACAACAAGTGAACTCAGATCTCAGGAGCTTGATCAGGGGGTCAGTGGGACGGGGTAGGGCAAAGGGTGTCATGGGTTCTTGTCATAGAACACCATTAAGAGGAGGAAGATGGCTGTTTACGGTCCTGGCCCCTTTCATTTCTTGGGCCTCCCTCCTAAATACATAGCCACATTCTGGATCAACACCCAGGTTTCAGCATTCTCAAAAGGCGAGCAGTAGGTTTGCGGTGAGCAGTCTTAAAAAAACGAAAGCAAGCTTTTCGCTAAGAGTTTTTCATCTCCCAGGAGATCACCCATGTTACTCACAGACATAAGGGGCAAGCCCTGTGTGTCAGAGATTCCCAGCTTCAGGGGTTTCCTCTCCCTGATGAGAATATCATTAATGGCACACTTCTAGTTTCTCTCGGCCTCCTCATTTACCGTTCCCCACAGGCCGGGTACTCATCTGTTCTTGGTATTTAGAGAGGAGGAAATGGTTTGCATAGCTTAGCATTTTGCACTTTTTCTTCTGCTAAGTCTCAAACCCAAGGCAAAGAGCTGAGATGCTTATTAACATATCAAATTGAACCTGGCTGGCAAGTTCTCCTCCCTCAGACCATTCCAGGAACCTCTTTGCTTTCATACTCTGCCCCCCACTCTGAACTCTCTAGCCCAGGGGTTGGGCTGCCCTTCCCTATATAATCCAGCCATTTTGACTACACTAGGTCTCTTGGTCCAGGCCACCTCTTGGTCAGTGCCTTCTCTCTTTCTCTCCCTCCTCTCTCTCCTCTCAGTTTAGTCTGTCAGCCGTGTTCAGCCTGGACTCTTCCTTCTGCCTGCTTTCTCCCATTATCTACAATAGGAACCAACTCTGCTTTAAGAGTGGCCACGCCCCCTCCTTTCATTTCACTTTTTCTTTCTTCTGCCCCAGGAGCCCCGTCAGACGTGATGAGAGAGGGAAAACCAGTTTTCTCCAGGAGTGTCACCGCATGTTAGCAGACATTTTGTACTTCTGACAATTCCCGCTTTAGCTAGCTTGTAGCAGTGTCCCCGTGTCTGCAAAGCATTGTGGTCACCTCAGGTAACTGCCCATGAAGGAATTTAATTTTCTTTCTCTGACCTGTACTTGATCTTTATGTTTTGGATTCACTATCACCTCACTTTTTTCCAATTTTTTTAAAAATTAATTAATTAATTAATTAATTTATTCACTTTACATCATACTATGAATCGAAATGTAAGTATCTAAGATGCAGGCTAGCTGAGGAATCACGACCCACAGGTTGAGAACCACTGCTCTAAATTGCTTTGTGTTTGAGCACAATTAAATTAAAAGCAAAATTAAAGCAAAAGCAAAGTAACTAATACAGCCGAGCCTCACCTTCCATCTTGAGACCGGGTCTTTTATCGCTCTCTGTTATACTATGAGATTTTAAGCAGGCAGCCCCGGGAAATCACTGGCCAAACTTTGTCTCCTCAAAAAAATACAACCCGTACCCACTACACAAACAAGAAATGTACTATACGTTTTATTTATAAGACTGAAACAGTCAAGCGTGTTCGTTTAAATTAACTAATAAAATGGGGGAATGGCACAGGAGCCGTTATTTACAGGCGATAAGCTGAGCTAGAGGAGATCAGTTTCTGTTACAAAACAGTATCATGACATTCACAAATGATCCTTTTATAAACAGTGATGTAAATGCTTTATACTTGCGTATATTTTTTTTCCCTTGGGGGAAAAAGGTTGGCAATAAATCTTTGGCATCGACTTGAACAGGTTTCTCCTTGAACTACTACCACACACAGTGCTCAGGCATCTCTAAGTGTGCACAGGGGGACTGTGTCCTGATGAACTTTTCAGCAATCTCAGTGTTTCCCTTAGCTCCCGACGCACTGCAGTCTGGGACAGAGCTGGACTGTCGGGTGCAGAAGACAGTGGTTTGAATTGTGCTTCTTCCCGTAGCCTGTCCTCTCTGTGTTCTAAGCTGTTCATCTTTCAAAGGAGAACAGTCATTCAAGGATTCACACAAACCAGATACCAACAGGCTGAAAGGTGGCATGCTAGGATGTTGATTTAAAAACCATCATGGTAACTAACACACACCCGCTTCTTTCTCTCTGGTTCCACATTTTCTGAGACGCCCAGACTATCCCTAAATGAACTAAGATGAATAAGAAAACACAGGTCTCACTGAAAAGTGAACTTCAATAGATTATAAATCTGGTTCTTAACTGTTTTGTTTTGGTTTGTTTAAGATTGTATGTGTGTGTGTATGTGCGCATACCTCTTCAGGTGCACCGGAGCATTCACAGAGGACAGAAGAAAGCATCAAATTTCTCGGGACTGGAATTACAGGCATTTGCAGAATATGTGGTTGTTATGCGTGTGGTAGGATACAAATCCCAGTCCTTGTGATTGAACTGCACAGCCTTACATTCCCTAGGATTGAACTGCACACACTTACACAGCTGAGCCATTGCTCCAGGCCTCTTCATTGTCCCCTGTGTCACTTTGGTTTTTCTTATTTTTTATCACGTAAGCAGTTTAGACCTCTTTCCTTTGGAAGGCAACTCTTCAGTCCACAGCTACAACCGTAACTTCCTCCCTAAAGCCCTTTTGGTTTGTAAGAAAACTTCTTTTCCACTTTGCCCTTTATAAGAGGTAGGGTACTTACCCCATACTATTTTAATAGAGTCACATTGTTTCTAAGGTAAAGCAACTCATTTTATCAGATTAAATTTGATGCCTTTGGGCTAGCTCCTGCAAAGAAAACTTGTAAGTGATTAAATAATTCTTATTGAAATGATCTACTCTCTTGTTTTCTTTTCTCCAGCCTTTACAGGTAAAACGTTCCTTTGGAATATTGCTCTGTAGAGTCATAGGAAACCTACTTCATGAAATCATAGTCACAGGCACCATGACATGATAACCCAAGGTTTTCTAGAGCAAGTCAAGTTTGTCCATGGAAGCATATGAACGTCAGCAGACTTAGCAAAACTGCATTCTGCATATAACGGACTTCAAGATAGCTCAGGGCATGTGGTCAGGCCCAGAATACAGTAGTCTTTGGTTTTCAGTCCTGCCTATCAAGGACTCATGCCTGTGACTCTAAGTCATTATCTGCCACAGGACATTGTGACATGCGTCTCAAGAGGCTGTGCATGACCATCTCTGGGTGTGCTGGAGTTCTTATACCCCTTGGTCTGGGACCTTCGGTAGCCTCAGTGGCAGGTGAGTCCTGACGACCTCACACTCTCAGGAGCTCTGCCAGGGTCCGTCTCTCAGATGTGCCGTGCAGTGAGGAAAAAGAGCGGCCTGTCTTCCTTGGCATTGGCTGTCTGGAACTCGTCCCGCAGCCGGAACTGCCACTCATCTTCCAGCTCCAGGCGGACCACGGTCTGGCGGAGTGAGTTCCGGTCTTGGCAAATCACACACAAGGTGGCTCCTTGAGAGGGCAACGACAGAGGCAAGCAGAGAGAAAGGGGTGAGTTCTCCCAAGAGCACCACGTGGGGACCCCACTCACAATAACCAAAGAGCTGGGTGGGAGTGCCCAGTGGCCTCTGCTCCTCTCTGAGCGATTCATAATCTCAGCAACATGGATGGTGGGCAGGTCTGCTGGGAAGACGGGACAGGAGCAGAAAAGGTGACTGGAGCAGAACGAAAAAGGGGAGGAGAGATGGGGGCTTGATCCCAAGTAAGGCACTCTCAGCTCCAGCCCTGGACTCTCATGCTATCTCAGTTCAACCCTGTTTCCCAGTCACATGGGCCTTGGGCAGCTCCCACCTTAGCCACATGCCCAGCCATAGGAATTCTCCTTCCGCATAGCTCCCGGCCTGCAGCAATCCACCCATCTGCCAGGCTCTGTCCAGCCTCTTCCTCCCTCCTTACATGTGTTCAATCATCCTTTTAGGTCTGGCAGGAGTGTCCAACCTTTTCACAGTGAGACATCACATTGCTTACAAACTTCTAAATAATCAAAGTGGGGTTTTTTTTAAGTCCAAAATACCCTACTTCAACATTTTTAAGTAAGTTTATCATTTGGAGGAGGAGGGATCACATTCTTAGCTAACCTAGGCTCAAGGAGCCCCAAAGACTGTTCTGAGAGCAAAGCCTTGACCCCCTACTCCTGCTAATTAAATGAATGAGGGCAGGAAAACAGGCAAGGTACACGGAACATCAGCAAGGAAATGGAGCAGGCCTGGGATCCCAGGGCACTTGTTTACAAGCCATTTCCAGTGCCAGCCACAAACGAGAAAAGGAGGAAGATCGGAGAAGAAGGGGAGGAGGTCACATGGTACTCTGAACCTTGTAGAAGCCTCTGAGGCCCACCCCCTGGCACCAGCATAAAGGACAAGGGGCCTGGGGGCCAGGGAGAAGAACAGTCATATGAAATGCCTTCCATTCCCCAAAAAGAAAATGTCTTGTTTCTACTGAACAGATATGAGAGAATGAACTTGGGGTTCAGTCCCAGCTTTAAGATAGTTTGAGAGTTGAGACCGTTACTCTCCTTCTCTGAGCTTCAGTTTACCCACTGGCAAAAAAAGTATCAGGCCTAAGGTCCTGTCATCAGAGACGCCAGGTGACAGTGGCCAATCAAATCCAGGTCCAGGCTAGGAGTATAGGGTACCTTTCAGGAAGTGGAACTTCTTCAAGAAGCTAGCCCCCACAAAAGAGTCGCAGAGGTACAGCAGGAGCCCGCTGAACACCATCTCAGAGCAGCTGATGTTTAAGGAGTGGGGCCTGGAGCTCACATAACACACAGAAATCTGAAAGAGAAGGAGCCCAGGAGAAGCATTATCTTCTAGGAAGTACTAGGCCACAGTGGGACTAGTATCTAGCAAGCACCTGGTGCTTGGTCAGGCTGAAGGCGGGGCTTGGGATAAAGACAGTCATCATATTTCCAAATCACATCCTCTGAAAACAGGCTCTGGGAGGTTTATTCCAATTTATCAATTTGATTTGAATCAGGAATGCCTTGCCACCAGAATTGGGTTTGATCCCTAACATTTACTTGACTAACCCAGCACCCTCCGCCTCTATTTTGGCAGAGGTCAAGCAAGGTGAGCATCTGAGCCTTGAGCACAGGTCAGCCTCAGGACCCACAGATAGGCCCCCTAGAGGTGATTCCAAGTGGGTAGGAGGATTACATCAGTAATGTTAATGTCAATGTAACAGCAGCTTATGCAAGGGATGTGAATGCACGTACATTCCCATTACCCACGGAGTCCTGGGTTGATCTACATGGATCCCTGAGGGACACTAATTATGATTCAAAATCCTGGTATTCCATCACCTGTTCTATGGATTCCAAGCTGAGTTACCTGAGGACCCAGGTTAAGGTAGCAGTCTACAGACAACACGGGGTGGCCATGGTTCTTCAGAGACAGCGGGAAGAAGCGGTGGCTGTGGTACTGGAGGAATTTCTCCAGCAGCAGCTGGGCGGGAGCTGCCAGGAATGTATGCTTACTGTCCGGGGCACAGATGTACTGGGAAGGCACAATGGCCACAGAGCTGTCAGACACCTGCCAGGAAGAGGGACAGGCTTCAGAGATGTCTCTGGTAAAGCGCTTGCTGTGTCTTGAGCTCGGATCCCTGGCACCCATGCAAAAGCTAGGTGTGGTCACACATATCTGTAATCCCAGGGCTGGGAAAGGGACAAGTCAGGGGGAGCATCCCTAGAGGTCACGGGCCAGCTAGGCCAGCCAATCACGGAGTTCTGAGTTTAGTACTAGATGGTATCTCAAAGGATAAGCCAGAGAGCTGCAGTCCAAGACACCCAACATCAACCTCCAACAACTAGCTTCACTTGTATGCTGACACATGTGTGAGCACACACACACACACACACACACACACACCACACTACACATTTCACCAAAACAAGCCTGCAAAAACTGAATAATGAGACCCCACTGATTTGTATATCCTGATCATTCCATGGAGAAAACTGGTTCACAGAACACAAAAGCACATGCGAGCCTTGGAAACTCTCCTTCAGAGCCTATGCCACAGGAGCTTTTAAAGTATCAGTCCTCAACCTGTGGGTCGTGACCTCTTTGGCAAACGTCTGTCTCCAAAACTAGTTACATTAAAATTCATAACAGAAGCAAGATTACAGTTTTAAAGTAGCAATGATAATAATTTTGTGCCGGGGGGGGAGGGGTCACCACAACCTGGAGAACTGGACTACAGGGTTGCAGCATCAGGAAGGTTAAGAACCACTGCTCCAGAGGAAACCAGATTCTCCCTGACCCCTAAATCCTTTCTACATCCTCCCCCACAACCCTTCCACCTTACTGTTCAGCCATCCACCCACAAGCTCCTACTCTACCACCAGAACAGTTGCCTTACTGTGGCCAGAGATTGCTCGATAAACAAATCCGAAACCAGGACCACTGCTGGAAACCATTAATGGTTCTGCCATAGTTTCACTCTGTAATACCCTCTCTGACAGTTTTGAGGACTTGCTGTTCCCTGCCTGGTTGGCATTGTTGGGGGAGGCTGCGGACCCTTCAGGAAGTGGTACCTAGCTGGTAGAAGTAGATCCTACAGGCAGGCCTTTAAAGGCTATAGCCCAACCCCTAGTTCCCCTGCTCTCTGCATCATGGCCCACCACCATATGCACAGCTCTGTCACACACTCCTGCCACCACAGGCTGAACCCTCAACCCTGCCATCTCCACTACGGCAATTCCACTACCGAAATCCCCAAGGCTGGAAGCCAAAAGAAATCTTTCTACCTTAAGCTGCTCCACTAGCCTTTCTCCCACAGGACACAAAAGCTAGCTAACATAGCGAACTGTGTCAGACAAACGGGGCTGTTGTTTGGACTAAGCCTGGCCATGCCACGTTATTCTTGGGACTTTGGCTTCTTGTCACTCTTACAGCAAAGTCTAAATGTTTCCTATGGCCAAGTCACAGAAACTTCTATTTTCTGCCGCTCTTCCCGGCACCCTATGCTTTTTTCTCCAGGGTACCCATAGACTCCTCATCACCCAGCTGTCACATTGGGTCACCCTGTGACATCTCATTCAGCTCCATGGTGCTTCTAATAGTGGGGCTTCACTGAGTATGGCTGACTTCTTCCTCAGCTGCATACCTGAGAGAGAAGGGACTACCAGGCTACAGTAGATTATATCTGACAAAATAAATGAAAATAAGTGATTTCAGTGACATGAAAAGTTTTTAAAATATATCAGTAGCTTCCCTATATTTAATCAACATGCAATTAAGATCATGTTCTAGGTAGGATAAAGATCTAAATAATAATAACAACAACAACAATAACAACAACAATAACAACCACCTAGGACTGGTTCAGCAAGTATGGGAACTTACTACCACTGATGACCTGAGTTAAATCCCAAAGACCCATATGGTGGAAGGAGAGTTGTCTTCTGACCTTTGTATGTATACTGTAGTTCACGTGAGCACACACACACACTCAAATTAAACATGAGAGCTTAAAAACAAGAATGAGGAAATAAAAAAAATTAAGAATCTGAAAGGCACATCAGGGTCTCTGGTAGAAAGATCTCAGTGGTTACTAAGTTAAACAAGTGTAACACACTCGATTTTTAAAACATCAAGTGGCAGTGGTTTAACTCACTGGTTTTCAAGTTCTTGGATAGAACGAGCCTCACACTTGAAAGTCCTGCTACTCTGAGATGGGCTTCTGTTTCTGAGAAAGCTCTGACCATCCAACATTGTGGGTGGCTGTGTGGTACTATTATCTGGATCCAGATGTGCTCCAGATCAGGTTAGGACAATTTGCAAGGAAGTGGTGAAGACTAGGAAGGACAGACACTGGGAAAGGATAACTTGATGGCACACACCAGGACGATTCAAGATAGACAGGACATTATAAATGAGAACCAGAGGGACCTTCGGCCAGGGGTTGGCCACTTTACCTGGCTTTCTATGGAGTATCTACTTTGGTTTTTCTTCAACATCTGGGTCTGCTCAGCTAGGACAACTGTAGTCAGACACATCTCTCTCACTAGACCCTGGCTTCTGGGCAGACAAATGTGGCCACTGAGCTAGCCAGGTGTGCGAAGCTAACAGTTCTTTAGGCTGTGCTATCTAGTGGTGTGGAGAAAAGTCTAGTGTGCTATCCCCTGCCTGGGTGGGAGGGCAGGAGTGCACAGGAAAGGCTTGCTCCTGTACTATGCAGCTTCTCACTGGATGCTAGGCAATGTTGGAGAGTGAGAGTGGCTCCCAAGGCTTGGTACCAAGTGCCCCATGCTCTGACTCTCTTAAATTATAAGGCATCACTCCCTCATCCCCAGGCTCCTCCTCTCAGCTTTGATACCAGGGCAACTCGGGTTTGGCCTGCGCACCTGCCTGTCAGTGCTGCTCTACTCACCTTGGATGTGATGTGGAAGGACCTGTGCCCGCCCACCGCGATCTGCTTCTTCATGACACTGAAGCGATTGAACCGGCAGAGCAGGAGGCCAGCGCTGTGCACACGAAGGTTGAAGTCTACGTCGTCACATGTAAACCTGCTCAGAGCCAGAAGAGGAGTGGGAATGACTGGGCACAGCTCTCATACCCCCAGACACCCATTATCAGGGCTGCAAGCGTTAAAGCACGTTACAGTAAATAATGAGACCTACCGCTAGGTGGAGACATGCCCTTAAGAGTTGATTGGGGCAGAGGGTGATCTGGTGATGGGACCACCCTAGGAATGCAGGTTCACTGGAATATAATTTTCCATCCCAGAATTATGGCTCTCTAATTCAGTCCCTATGAGCTACTGTGAGGTTCCGCTGGATCTGCCTGCCTTTTAGAGCCCTGCCTCAGAAGGGCATAACTATTTCTTCTGCTTCTATTCTTTTGTCAGGGCCTAAGTATGCTGTGTGTGTGTGTGTGTGTGTGTGTGTGTGTGTGTGTGTGTCTGTCTGTCTGTCTGTATGTATGTCTGTGTGTGCACAGTAAGTATGCTTTTAAACTACCTAACACACACCATGGGCTTCTCCTTGCTGCCTACAGTTTGGCTGCCAGCTGTCAAGTGACTGGCCTCCACACCAGCTCTTCTCCATCTTTTCCTGCCTCCATGTCTTCCTTTGAAACTCTAGCTAGTCTCAAGTATCTTTTTGAGTCTGTTCTTTGTCCCCAAGCTGTCACTTGCATCTGCTCTTAAATTCTGTTTATTAATAAGACTTAGAACCCCAGGAAGGGATGCTGATCTCCCCTAGTGTCAGATGGTGGCATTGCTGGGATTCTCTGAGATTTCTGGTGACTTCTTTATTACCTTTCAATTCTTCAACCAACAGAGAAAAAGACCTCGTTCCTGTATCCCCATTCCCCCATCATGAATTCACTATGCAGCAAGGATGACCTCATACTTCCAATTCTCCTGCCTCCACCTCCAAAGAATTGGGACTGTACATAGTTTATGTGCTACTGGGGATTAAATCCAGGCCTTCAAGTATGCTAGGCAAGCTAGATCTCCTAGGCCTCTACTCAGCTGTTAAAAAAGAAACAATCAGAGAGAAACCACCTATCACTGCCTATACAGGGCTGGTAGGTGGCTGAATCTTGGCTCCAAGTAGCCCATCGCCTGGCATTCAGGAGACTCAATCAACAGACATATGGCTGGAAAGCAGCTCATTCAAATTACTTCATAGTTTTATTTGATGGTATAGTGGTTTGAATAGGAATGGCCCCCATAGGCTCATTGATTTGAGTACTTGGCTATTAAGGTGTGGTGCTACTTAAAACGGTTTAGGAGGTGTGGCTTTGTTGGAGTAGGTGTGGCCTTGTTGGAGAAACAGTCACTGCAGGGAGGGCTTTGGGGTTTCAAATGCTCAAGCCAGGCCCAGTGTTTCTCTCTTTCTGCTGCCTGCCCATTTAGATGTAGCACTCTCAGTTACCTCTCCAGAACCATGCACGTCTGTCTGCACCCTGCCACACTCCCCGCCATGATGATAATGGACTAAACCTCTGAAACTGTAAGCCAGCCCCAATGGAATGTTTTCCTTTATAAGAGTTGCCATGGTCATGGTCTCTCTTCATAACAATAAAACCCTAACTAAGACAGATGGCAAGATTATTTAAAAAGTGACTTAGGCCGGGCAGTGGTGGCGCACGCCTTTAATCCCAGCACTTGGGAGGCAGAGGCAGGTGGATTTCTGAGTTCGAGGCCAGCCTGGTCTACAGAGTGAGTTCCAGGACAGCCAGGGCTATACAGAGAAACCCTGTCTCAAAAAACCAAAAAACAAAAAAAACAAAAAAAAAAAACAAAAAAAAAAGTGACTTATTTGGTAAAGAAGCCCAAGCAAAAGAAACACCCAATACAAGGTAGCTCACTGAGGAAAGCATCTATGAATGAAGAAATGGAGTTTCTCTATAAAATAACTCTATGAAAACTCAGAACGACCATACATTGTCTGATGATGGCCAGTGCTGTGGGCAGAGGCACTGTTCCAGTGGCTGTGATGATTAACCTTGATCATCATGATAAATAGGCATTATAATCACCATGGAATCAAGCCTCTAGTCATGTCTCTGAGGGAATTTGTGGACTGGGTTAATTAGGATGGGAAAGCCACCCTATATGTTGAGTGTACGATCTCATGGGCTGGGCTGTCATGCTAAATAAAGAGACAGTGAGATGAGTACCAGTCATCATCTCTCTCTGTGCCTCCTGACCAGGAAGGCCATGTGGCCAGCTGCCTCACAGTCTTGCCACCATGCCTTCCCCACCCCAGTGGACTTCACTGTCAAACTCCAAGCCAAACAAGCCTTTCCTTCCTCCAGTTGCTTTGGTCACATAATTGTCATAGCAACAGCACAGTGCTGCAGGACCAGGGGTTGGGTCGGGAGGGGTAAAGTTTGCCGGGCTTACCTGAGGCTGCATCCTGTGAGGCCA